CAATTACTACCCTCTGGGTCCGACCACGGAGCCAATTTCTTAGCCAGCGGATTGTGGTGGTTATAGAAATGCAGTGCTAAAATGTTCTGTTCAGAACTTTAAAAGGCAAGTAGAAATATTTTAGGACATCATATTTTGGGCAAACTTATCAACTTATAATGTATTCCATGAGGCTGCTAAACTCTATAAATTGCAGAAAATGTACTTGATAATGCAGCAAGTTTTTTTTCCCCATCTTCACTGCTGTGGTTTCATAAATATTTTACTGAGTGCCTCATTGAGTTAGACTCAAGGCACCTCTCAGAAAATGTCATCTTTTAGCTTTTGCTCATTTTTTAACTGTGGGAAAATAATAGAATAATTTTTTGTTGCAAAGAACTCAGAAGGACCACAACACATCAAGATGTTTTTTACACTATGGACTCCTGTTTTGATGCTTCTGGGTTTATTTTGTGAATTGTGTGTAGGTTTTCCACACCTAACTGTGCTAATTTTGCATGGCAGTCCATAGCACCCTTAAAAGTAATTTATGAATTACTGATTTTGAGAGACAACCCCTGGGCTTGGCAATAATTTAGCTGTGAACCAGAAGTCCTGCAGCAGCCCCACCAGGTACACCTCAGAAAACTGAAATATGAAATAACAAAGTATTATATTAAATGTTAACTTGTTTCAATGTAACCTCTAATAATTGTTTTTTATGTAACTTGCCCAACAACAATTTTGGTCATCAGCAAGAAGCTGACATCATCTCTCAATCTGGTGTTTGAACTGGCTGGTAATCCTAGAGCTCTACAAGTTCTGTTTTCAGTGACAATAACTCTCTTTTTCAATGTTATCGCAGGGCCAGATGGTCATGTGACCCGGTATGGGTTAGAATGGCTGGGGAAGAACAGCTACGAGGGGCAGAAGGAGCAAGTCATGCATCCTCGAATTCTCTGGAATGCAGAGATCTACCTGCAAGCTCAGGTACCATCCACTGACTGCAAGAGCTTCCTGGAAACAAATGAGGGCCTGAAGGAGTTCCTGCAGAACTTCCTGCTGTATGGGATTGCTTTTGTAGAAAATGTTCCCCCAACCAAAGAGGACACAGAAATCTTAGCTGAGAGGGTCAGCTTGATCAGGTAATTAAAGATGTCCTGTGGAAAGCCAAATGTTTTGCCTAAGACTCAAACACCACAAGCTTGACAAGGAGTGGGTTGTAATCTCAGTTGAGAATGTGAAGGTTGTTCTTCTATTCTAGCCAGTTGCCCTTCAAGAATGACCGGGGGCTGGGAGCAGGTGGGGATGGAGCCCCGTGGGCCCACTTCCCCTTTACCTCCTGCTGCTTGGGGTCTGTGCCCACTTCCCCCCTCCCCACCGCAGAGAGTTGGGTTGGGGAGCCGAGGCCAGCAGTGCCCTCTGTCCAGTCCTCAGCACAGCTTTGGAATCCATGGCAGTGCTCCCCCACACTTGGAGCACTCTGACTGGCTGTTTCCGTCAGCCAATCAGAGTGCGAATAAAGCATCTTGGACAGACAGACAGACAGAAAGGCAGACAGACTTAGGCTTTTATAATATTAGAATTCTGTAAATCCAGGGATATAATCTAGACACACTGACACACTTTATACACATAATCTAGACACACTGACACACTTCAAAATGAAGCATGGCATGCTGACCTGTGGTCTTCCTGGCTAGTCCATTTGCCTCAAGATGGAATGGTGAATTGTGGAACCTGTCATCTCCACGGACCCACCTGCTGTCTTACTAAAGTTTATGATCTGCTTAGGCAGCATCTAGTCACAATGGTGGTCATGGGATTATGCTGAGCATTGAAGGAGTGGAGGGTATTTTGAAAGCTGGGAAGACTTGAGCTATGCCAGGAGAGGCATTTCCTGTTTTGACATGAAGGGTTAGTAGGGCAGCCTTGGTCCTGGGAGCCAGAAAGATCAAAAGAGGCCTGTAGTTGCCTTTCAAGGGAAAAAATGGGAAAGATATTTTTTTTTTCTGTGAAAGAAAAAAACAGCTTGGGTCAGTGTGGGGGTGGGTTTCAGGTTTTATTCAGACTAAGCAGAGTAGAAATGCTTTGACTTCCGCAGGCCTCTGAAGGAGAAGGATATATACTGTTTACATTATATATTGCATTGTATTTTACTATATTAATCCCATGGTTTGAGACTTTTGCTAATCTCCTGCCAGGGTCAGGAAAAACTTGCACCCCTTCCCCTTTTACTTTCATTACTCGTTTTTGGATGAGGGTGATTAGCCTTTCTCAGGCATTGAACGTTGCCTGGGGTGCTTACTGGTGCTGAGAACTCCCGCCCCAGATGACTAGCCCTAGTCGGTCTTGTTCACACAGTCTTGGTTAAAACAATTGTCATGTCTGGGTTCAGGAAGGAATTTTAATAGAATTATAAAGAAAGTCTGGAAGCAACCTCAAGAGGTCATCTAGTCCAGGGGTTGTCAACTGGGGAGGTCCTAGGGGGTACACGTGTACAGGTGGGCAGGGATGGGGTGCCACCACCCCATACCACCGCCTCCCAGGAGCGGGGGGAGCAGGGGTGAGGGCAGCACTGCCCCTCTGCAAGCCACACAGGTGCTGCCCAGCCAGCCAGATGTGGGGACGGTTGCGGGGGCTCGCTCATGGCAGCTGCCACCCACCACGCCGCGCTGCTGCTGCTGCTCCGTGTCCGGCCACTGGGAGTACACTTATTTTAAAAGGCTGAAAACCCTTGTTCTAGTCCAGTCCCTTGCTCAAGGCAAGATCATCCCTATCGAACTGTCCTATACAAGTGTTTAATGTATTCCTAAAAATCTTCAGGAACAACCCTTGCACACAATTACCAGGGATAATGCCTGCAATATCAAAAACATCCTTTAACTTGCCACAGGTAAAACAGGGGGATGAGGGCACTGTCAATATGGTGGCACTGCAAGGATAGAAGGTAGTTAAAATACTCTTAGAGATCTGAGAAAAAGGACTGCACCCCCCACTACAGAGTAAGCCAGAACTCCCACAATCCGTGCAAATGTGACTTCTTCTTTTTTACAGGAATGGTATTTAGTTGTGAAGGGAGATCATTCTTCTGCTAGAACAGGGATGGGCAAAGGCCAACCCATGGGCCAGATCCAGTTGACAGTGGACTCCATTTCCCAGCCAACCCCACGCATGGCTGGGATCAGTCTCCATGGAGAGCCCAGCCACAGCTGGGCTGTGAAAGCTCAAGGCTGGGGTTGCCATGGAGACCAGCTCCAGCCACGCTGGCAGGGCACAGGGCAGGGGCCTGCTCCAGAGCTGCTGGGATCTTGCAGTGGGAGCAGCTTGCTCCGGAACCAGGGCAGAGCCGTGATCCATAGCCTGCATGCTCTGGGCAGGGGCACACAGGCAGGGGATCACGGCTCTGCCCTGGCTCCTTGCAGTGGTGACAGCTTGGTTTGGAGCAAGGGCAGAGCCGCAATCCCCTGCCTGTGTGCCCCTGCTCAGAACATGCAGGCTACAGATTGCAGCTCTGCCCTGGCTCTGGAGCAAGCTTCCCCCATTGCAAGGTCTCAGCAGCTCCGGAGCAGCTCCCTGTCCTAATCTGTCCTGTCCTGCCAGCACAGCTGGGGCTGGTCTCCATGGTAACCCCAGCCTTAGATTTTCACAGCAGCTGTGGCTGGGCTCTGCATTGAGATGGGTCCCAGCCATTCAGGCAGGGGCTGCTAGGAAATGGAGCCTGGCTGCTGGCCAGATCAGCCGTTTTGCCCACCACTATGCTAGAAGGATAGTGGTCACAGAAGTTCACAAAGCAGAAGTTGGGGCTTAGCTATGAGGGACAAAAACTAAACTCTTGAAGTGGCAGAAACTCCATCAGCACACAACTTCGCTTAACGCTGTATACTGTAAAGCATGCATCGTGCCATATTATTTTGTCTTAGTAATTTGCATTCTTTGAGGGCTGGATGGGAGTACATTTTAGAGGAAGGGGAAAACATACTTAAGAAAATAGCAAGGTTGACAGTCATTTCTGCTGCCCCAGTTGCATTGTGATATACACCTGTTTGTGTCCCCCCTTTTCTGCCGCAGAGAGACCATCTATGGTCGAATGTGGCATTTCACCTCTGACTTCTCCCGGGGAGACACCGCATACACAAAACTGGCTCTGGATCGTCACACTGACACCACCTACTTCCAGGAACCCTGTGGGTATGTACTTGTGCTGCTTGCCAAAGGTACAACAGAAAAGGCAAGAGCAATTCATTAGTGAAAACATTTGAGTGGCAGAATGTTTCTCTAAGTGGGTTGATTGACTCTAACAACATATTAAAAAGACATGTATGTTCCCATTATATGGCAATGCTGAACTGAAATCCTATGTGATTCTGGCATGCTTTATTCCCCTTTTTCCTACCTGAAGCTTTTTGGTGTTTCAGGAACATACACTTATTGAAACTTGGCTGCTGGCAAATTCCTTCTCGTTTCCCAGGTGACCAAGTACTCTCTTCAAATCCTTCTATGATGAAAGTGAGCCATGCAATTGTATGAATTAGTGCCAGTCATCCAGCTAGCCTTTGTAATACATGTGTGCCCTGTTTGATAGAGAAAGGTGGAAGGCCTAATAGTGGTTATACACACACAGTTACAGAGGAGGCCTAGGTCTGATTACTTAATTTGTTTTTGTTGAAGGGAAGTGCAAGGACTGCAGAGGTAACATCCATCTCTGGAGGAGGACTAGGAGAAGCGGTTAAAGAGCAGTGACCTTGAGTACCAACTGTCCATCTTAGAGGGTAATGGCTGCAGGGAACAGCTTCTGAAAGGAGAGGAAGAGAAAGAAATCTGAATTGCAGACCACCACTTAAGACCAGTACAAAAACTGATAACTGGAAAAGAAGTCAGGATTCCTAGTTCACATCCCAAGTACCTCCACAGCCATTTTAATATAAAAATTTGAGGTGGCAGAGTTACTTGCATAGCAACCACAATTTTAAAATTAACAATTTATTAGTATGCTACAGTTGTGGGATGGAAGTGTTTGCATACAACGGGCTGTGCTGGCATACTTTGACACAGGAATAAGGCTGCTTTATTACATTCTGTGAACATCTCAGTGTTATTTTCAGGCTCTCTCTTGTACATCTCCGCCAGAGCTTTGTACATTTCCCTCAGTTTCCCCAAGACAAATACAAAAAAAAGTCATTAACAGTCACTTTTATTACTATGTACTCAATAGCCCATTAGCTATTTTATACTTTTCCCTTAAGCCTTGAAAGAAAGTCTTTTATGTGGTTTAAGCATGTCTCTCTGCATAGACTGCAACATTATTTTAAGCCATGGTAGCATAAACTAAGCAGGCAGGTTTATATGTGAGCACTAGAGTGTGCAAGGCACTGCACTTTTGAAAGTCAGTGTCAGCGTTCTTTCTTCTTGTAGTCCCTATGGTCCGTCAGTAGCCCTCTACCCAAGTATCAGAAGGCTTGCCTTTGAATGGCTAGGCCTAGTTTTCAAGTCTTTTGCAGCCTGTTGTGGGGATAAGGATGCAGTCAATGCCCAGCTTAAACTGCTGGTGAATAGACCCTAGCCATCCGTTCATGCAGCGAGTCAGAACTGGTCTGTGATTCGAAAGGACACCCTCAGGGAAAACTAAGTGCAGAAAGTGATGCAGGTTATTTCATGGGTGAAATAGTTACCCCATGAAAAGGTCAGTAGTGGCTCTGTGCATCTGGAAGGTGCTCTGAGAGGGCTACATCTTGCAAAGTTGGTGGAAAGGGAAAGAAAGGTGCAAGATAAACTGCTAGAGTGGCAAAGTTTAGATTGTTTGTGTGACCTTGGCAAAGCAGTTCCACTCCTAATATTTTGTGAAGGGATGTCCCTGGAGTAAGGACATTAGCCAGGACTCAGAAAACCAAGGTCCAATATATTGCTTTTCAGCAGGCTTCTTTAATGACTTATGTCCATGCCCCAATTCTCCATACGCAAAACAGAGATAATAGCAGTGGCCTGCCTCAGAGGTGTTGTGAGGGCATGAGTTAAAAACAGTAAGGAGCTTAGATACGGTGGTGATATAGGTACAGTAGGTAGCCAAGAGAAAGAGGTTTGTGTTTTCTGTTACATGAAGCTTTAATTTTTCATTTTGAATTTTTCTTTCCTTTTGAAGTTTACTTTTTTATTTGTTTTTTTACCAAAACTGTTTGAAGCCATCTTCTAGAAGTTAGCTTTGTGCTTGTTGAACTTTCTAGTTCAAGGTAAATATTTTGAGATTGTGAATAATTTATATTCCAGAGCAATTTGATCCAGTGAAAACTTCCATAAAAACTGTAATATGAGAAATTCTTTTTAATTCATCCAAGGCCCTGAACATTCTATTTTCAGGAGAAGCTATTTTAATTTTTTAATTGTGAGATATGCAGGATGGAAGAAAACACTCCACGAAATGCTTCTTATTGAGCAACTCTGGTATCAAGACTGTGTCTAGCATTTCACTGTTACTGCCTTAGCATTAAATGCCACTTTGCTTTTTGCATTGGTTGGCTCTGTCCCCATTAAGCGAAATGTACACTGCTAGGCCTGGTGAAATAACGTCTGCTGTCATTCACTAATACTACCTCCACCAGTGAATAGATATAGCCTAATTAAGCAGAATATGAAACCAAAGAGGTTGGCCCCCTCACATACTTCATCCTCTCCAGATTCATCTTCCTGTGTTTGAGAGTCATTACTACTGTGTGGATCCAGTGTATCCCACATGACAAACTGACTGGCTTTTCCTTTGTGGTCTTGTCTCTCTCTTACCTCATGCAGCATCCAGGTGTTCCACTGCCTCAAGCATGAAGGGACTGGTGGCCGGACACTGCTTGTGGATGGGTTCTATGCAGCAGAGAAGGTGCTCCAACAAGCTCCTGAATCTTTTGAGCTGCTCAGCAAGGTGCCATTGAAGCATGAGTACGTGGAAAATGTAGGAGGCTGTCACAATCACATGATCGGTGTTGGGCCTGTTTTAAACATCTATCCTTGGAACAACGAGCTGTATTTGATCAGGTGAGACATAAGGGCTTGCATCTTGACCACAGACTTCCCTGTTTTGTGGGGAGTGAGGCATCCATGCAGGTTTTTAGTAGAGGTGCATTGATACGTTGGTCTGATATCGGATCAGCACCTATAAAGAAAATTGTCTGTATCGGAAATCGACCTGATGTGGCTGATAATTTGGCCAATAAATGACCTGTCCATGTGCGCAGCTGCAGCATAGCATGTAGGCAGTGAGGAGACAGCCGGTAGCATGGAGAACTGCTTGCAGCTGATAAGTCTGGTGTGGTGGAAGGGGAGGGGCACGCGGAGGCAGAACAAGGCCGCCTGCAGTGAGGAGGGAGTAGAGTAGGGGTTGGGACAGGCGCTGCCCAGCTGGAAGAGGGGGGTGTGGGACAGAGCCATGGCTCGTCCAGGGGGCACAGGGATGGGGGAAGGGGGCAGCTTCCGCTGCTGCGCAGCACTCCTCTGGTGGCTTGTCCGTTTATCTAGCAGCTCCCGCCACTGCTCCCACCACTTGTCCAGGAGGGAATGGGTGGTCCCCAGATCTGCACAGGGTGGGTGGCGGCAGCACTGGGAGGGGGGGCTATGGGGTGGCTACGGCGATTTTTGGGGTGGGTGCAGGGCCTCTGCCCCCTTCCCCCATAGCTCCCTCCCAGTGCCGTTGCTGCCTGCCTGGCGCCACCCCAGCCCACAGCTGCAGTCCCCCCGCCCGTGACCCACACAGATTTGCGGGGCACACACCCTTCCCCCCCCCATGCCCTCCCAGGGTGCATGCAGCAATAGGAGCCATTCCCTCTGGCACCTCCCAGACAAGCTGCAGTTCTGTCTCATGTCCTGCCCCGCCCCAGCTGGGCAGTGCCTCCCTCACCACAGGGTCCTTGAGCTTCCCCCCCACGCCCCTTCCATTTCCTCTCCCCTTCCACCACAACAGACTTACCAGCTGTATACAGTTGTATCAGAAATAGGATCGGTATTGGCCAATACGCCTCCTTAAAAATCAGCTACCCATATCAGCCCCAGAAATCTCTATTGGTGCATCCCTAGTTTTTAGCACGTTTGTTTTATCTGGCCAGCACTGAAAGAACTAGCACTCTCTACAAAACATTTTAAAAAGGGGAGGTGAAGGGGGGGGCATGCATTTTGTCTGGGCCCTCCCTACCAATGATTTATGAATTGTTGCTCCTATCAGGCTTTCTGACTCGTACTCCAGACCCCCTATCTTTGGAAGGGAAGCCTGTAAGCTGAGCTTTGATGTCAGCTCCCTGTTCAGCTGTATGCTCTGCCACCTATAATTCAGCCTGCTTTACAGTATGCTCAGCTGAAAGGGAAAGACTAAGCACTGACTCCAGCTAAAGCCCTCATGTGAAAACTGAGTACACTTGCTCCAAAATTGTAAAAGCCACTCTTGGAATCTTAGTATCTCCCTTACATCATTCTTACCCACTTCACCACTTCTAAAGTGTTTCTCCTGAAGTACATTTCAGACCTTGAATGCAAGCTCACATGAGAATTCTATGTCTGCCAAATTTTTAGACTGAAAATGTGGGAGTCTCCAAGTGGGGAATGAATCCAGAGAATTCTCAGGGTATCTTCCTCTGTGCAAACAGCCAACCTGCCCCTGGACTCGGAGTCAGAACACTTGAATACTATAAACATCAGTAGCTTTAACATCTGACTGTAAATACTTACCAACTCCACAAGAGCCACCAGATCACCCTCAGTTTTCAACAGTATATGACTCAGATCCTCCTCTTGGGTTTGATCTCACACCATTTAAAAGTCAATGAGAATCATGCCATTGACTTCAGAGGCAGCAGTGTCGTATATAAAGACCTTCCTGGATATCAGCCTATTATTGAATGAACTGAGGTAAAAATTTAATCAGATATTTTTGAAATTCAACTTCAGCCAGGCTCTTAAGTTTCAGTTCTGATTTAAAATGGAGGCTATATAGCCAATATCCCTTACTTTGACTATTGGTTAATTTTACTTGTCATAGATTTCCTTTAACCTTGCCTAACACAGACTATAAAAACTCAGTCCTGTTCCCCTGGCCTTTGCTGTTTCATTAAACATGCATAATGTTGAGGCAGGATTTAACTGATTACTTATTTCAAGTACTGGTAGAGCTAAATAGTGTAGAGTTACTTACTGATCAGAGTGTATGGTGGTAGATCTCACATGCACTTCCAGCACAATCTGTCTCTGGTATGAGTTGTTTAAGATTCTTCTTGATGAGTCAAAGTTGATATTTTTCGAGCTAACAATTTATACATGTTTCTCCTTTGACATATGTACATCAGTAATCATGCATTACCTCTGTGTGTTCCCCTCCTTTTTGTGGGGGCTGGCAAATAGTATATCATTATTCCAGGTTTCTGTCCCTCTGCATAGGGGCTACTGTCTGGCAAGTGAATGACATGGTAATTTTAAACACCGGTGCTCCCCTTGTCCTTGCTTGTTCTGCAGCACTGAAATCATAAACATCAAGAACTTTTTCACCCTGAACAGCCTAAATTGGCAGCTGTAATTGTAATGAGTTTTTGGTAGAGAAGGGAAAGAATCGGGCATCATTTAAGGCCACAAAATTTTAAAAGAGAAAAATGATTTAAAAGGGGAATAAGAGTTTTGGGATTGAGTTTAAGCTTTTTACTGCTCAGTCCTTGCCCCACTGCACACAGCAACCTCTTTTGGGTTTTTTGGGGCCTTCCTAAAGAGGTCCATTATGGTTAAACATGTTCCCTGTGGGCATAGTTGATTCTTCTCTACTCACAGACCCCTGGTGACTGTTCTTTTTCTCTTCTCTCTTAGGTACAATAACTATGACCGAGCAGTCATCAACACAGTGCCTTACGATGTAGTGCATCGCTGGTACGCTGCACACCGAACACTCACCACAGAATTAAGGAGACCAGAAAATGAACTCTGGGTCAAACTGAAGCCAGGCAAGGTAGAGTCACAAGTTCAGTCTGTGTTCATGAGACTATGACTGCGTACATTGAGGAAGGCAGGGCACCTGGTTTTAGTTAGAGTGGTATGGCACTCAGGGCTGCTGACTCTTGTCACTGACTTGGTGTAATACCTTGGGCACATTTGCTGGATGTTCTCCCTCTTTGTAGTAACTGCAGTAAGGGGTAATGCATCATATCACATGAATCTCTATATGTGTTCTTATCTCTGAAAGAGGGGGCAGGTGGAGAATAAATGGCTCCAAGACAAGAGAGAAATAGTGGAGTTTCACCAGAGAGACAATTTGGAAGGTTGGCTGCCACCCATGGGAGGGAATAGATGTCCTTATCTGTGAAATAGGCAAATAAGCTTCCTCTGTCAGGTATTGTGCTGAGACCTGGTAGAAATGGAAAATCTAATGGAAATATGTATGGAGAGCATCTGAGGAAACAGATCAGGCTAGCTAGCCTGATTAAGCATGGTTTATATGGCTGTGTTCTTACTCTGCAAGAGAAGAGATTTATAAAAATCAAATATTCCCCAACTTACCCTCGAAATGATTGAAGTGCCTAGTGCATCAATTGCGAGCACTGAAAGAAAGTGGCATGTTCTAGACTTAAAATGCTGGTGGGATGTTTGTGTGTTATGGTGGAGTGCTTTAAACCTGTGTCTAAGATTAAAACTGCATCATGCAGATCTGAACCATAGCTATATTTCCCCTGGAGCTACACCCATCCTAGGCCAGGTGAAAGGGTTTACACATAAATGGGCTAGATTTGGTATTAACCTAGGTTCAGGGCCCCTGGAATTGGAAAATACCAGGCAAGATTGCAGGGGCAAAGAGCAGTTACAGCTTCCCGGAGTCTGTGTTGGAGAGGAGAGAAGAGGGCAGGGCAGGGCAGTCTGAAAAGTGAGTGATGATGGCCTCTGAGGTCAGAAACAGGGTGTGTGTGACACTGGCCCATTACTGCAAGAGAATAGCAAAGCCCAGTCAACCCCAGGGGTTAGGGTTGCAGGTGAAGTCTGCCAGCCAGCTGCTGTGGAAGGAGAAGTAAATGGCACAAGGTGGACATTTTCTGGCATTATGTGCAACTTTGGGGTTGTTTCTGCCAGGAGCTGCCATTGTGCTACTTGTCATAGCCTTTTGGGGGTGGGGGTGGGGGTGGGGGTGGGGGGAGACAGTGCCCTAGTGTGAGATCTCACATGGCTTCTTGTTCACTTCCTGGTCTGACTGCTTTTCTGCTCCCATCCAGGCACTGTTTGTGGATAACTGGCGAGTACTTCATGGGCGGGAATCATTCACAGGATACCGCCAGCTCTGTGGGTGCTACTTGTCGAGAGATGATGTGCTGAATACTGCACGGTTCTTGGGAATGAAAGCTTAGCATGGACTGTCTGCAGCTGAGAGGCAGTCAGCATTCGACAAGCTGCAGTGCCCCAGGATTGTATATCACCAGGATGAAAATGGTCTGGATACCTCAACCCTTCCATCCATTCTAGACAGTCCCTGGTGCCTGAGGGAGCACTCCGAGGTCAGAGGGCACCAAAGCATTGCCTGATTGCATTTTCCCATTGAAAAATCACACTGCTCTTGCTCCCTCCTCCCCCCGCCCCCTTTGCCACCCGAGGACCTTTCAGCACAGTCTGGTTCAGAGTTGCAAGAAAGACACTGAGGCAGAGCTGATCAGGATACTGTCAGAAATTCTCCCACTCAAGTGCCTTTTGGATTATAAATGAGGGTATGAAAGCCTCATATTTCCTCTGTTCATCAATTGTTGCTTTTTTCAGCCACTAGCTTAGGTTTTTATTGTACATGGCAGAGTTGATTTTTTTTTTTTTTTGCCATGTCTTTCTCTGAGCTACATGAGAGTCCCCTCTACAGAGAGGATTTCAGTGATCGTACTTGAAACAGTGTAGAAATCAAACCACTCCAGCTTGGGCTTGGTGATACACTTCAGTAACTACTCTTCCACTCGTTACAGACACCCACACCATGTAAACATAGAAATAATAGGGTTGTAGAGACAGCATCATATTTCTCCACTATTTGAGAGTAAGGCATGCTGATTGAAGGCCCAGCTGGATCAGTCAGTGCAGCTGGGACATCTCCAAACAAGTTTTAGTGGAAGAGTAAGAAGGAGAGGGAGAAGTGATCCATGAGGGGAGGGAAGCAAAGCACGGTCCCCCCGGGTGTGTAAAGTGAGAGCAGTATTTCCCATGCTTTGTGGAGTGGTAAAAGGTTTGTGCCCAGCATTCCTGCATCCTACTCCACCAGCCGCTTGGAGCTTCCCTGTATCTACAGTGCAGGTACAGCTGCTGTAGGGTTTTCCTGAAGACTCTACTTGTGTCTGTCTGTCCCACTATTTTGAAGCCTACAAGCTTTATGTAGGAGAACTCTCCATTTGCTACTGGAGAAGGCTTGGATATGTAACCCATGTTTTTATACCTGTAGGTACTTAATGAGAGGTGGTTGTCAAGCCCCCAGAAGAAATGAACAAACAGGGGTGACTGGTTTTGTTTATCTTTACAGTTGTCTCTTAAAATATTTATTAACAAGCTGTTTCCTCTTAAGAACACCTGACTCAGAACCAAGAAGGGTTTTTAAATTCTCATTCCCTTTTCATTCTTTAGGCAGTGTGACTGTTTTTCTGCTTCACTCTGCTTAGACATAGAAGCTAAGTTTGGTTGCTCCCACATCCTGGTTCTCATGCTCTAGGAAGATGCTGTTGTGTTTGGGTTGTGAAAGCAGCCCAAGGATGCTTATGTACCAAACCAACCACCTTTTGTGTGGGCCAAACTACATGAATTGCTCCCATAGGCACTGAGAGACTCCTTCAGTCATTGGGCTTGGCCCTGAAGGGCTTCAAGTAACTGCAGAGCATTGCATGAAGCCATCAACTGGTTATAAGTGTGTTTCAGTGACCCTGAATTCGGGTATTACAAACTGGTGCCAGGAGGTTCCTTTTCAGTCATGTGCATCTCCCAAAACCCTGTCAGCCTCTGTCACAGGAGGCTGCTGCTTCTGTCTTGCAGCATGGAAAACAAGTCAAGCACTGTACAAAGAATACCGCTTCTATCCATTACTTTATTTAAAGAGAACTTGATTACAGATAACTCTTATTATTCAACTGCCAGCCAGCAAAGCTCTTAATTCTAAAGCTTATTAAAAGCATTTAGTTTTAAAAGTTAGATTTAAACAGCAAACTAAAAATGTCATGTTCTGTGCCTCCCACAGGTCAGTCAGGAACACCAGCAAAAGTCAGCTTTGCCTTCTGGCTTTCAGTGTTTAGTACAATGACATCTTGGGCTTAGACTGCTGCATGGGGGTGTCCAAAAACAGCCTGTAGTATTTTAATTGAAATGGGTGGAAAAAAACAATTATATTCAACATCTTAAAATATTTATAGAGTGGAAAGGGACCTCTGCCTTCTAAAAACTGAGCCTGAAACTTAAATGAAAGACTTGTGGGGAGGAAGTAAAGGTGATTCCAGAATCCCTTTGCTCTGTATGGAGTATTCTGTAGGCATGTTTAATTGGGACTTTACATATGTGACACCCGAGTCTAAGTATCCTAATCTCAGAAGGCAGCACTGTGGGCTATGCAGCCAGTGAAGCTCTGCCCACTGTAACAAAGGAAAATGCAGAGATGAAAACCCCACAGGACATGCTACTTGCCAGAGATTTGGTGCTTTACATAACTGGAGCTTCCATAGTGAGAATTTGTATATTGACAAAAGACTAGTGCAGTGTGTGCCTTTATAATAGGGAATGGCATTGCTGCAGGACTAGTGGAATTCATACCTAACTGCCAGTGAAAAAGAATGGGTTATGGGTCTGCTAAGGAGTGATCTAATAGAAACTGAACCCTCCTTCCAGAGTAGCTGGAAGTTGCTATCCATTCATTGCCTGTAAAAATAACATGGTGCTGTTTTGCTTTGTCTGGTTGCAGAAAGTTGGGGAAAGCTGTCCAGGCTAAACTAGGAATGTATTAATGTCTGAAACATTATTTTTCTTGTATGTATTTTTCAACTTTTCAGAATCCATCCTCAGCAGTAAATGTGGAAGGAGAGAACTTTTGCTTTAAGTTTTGTTCTCCATCTTTTCCCAGATGCTGGAGGATTGATTTTCTCCGAAACAGCTTGCTGGTGTGAGACCTTTTGGAGAAGCAGGATTGCTTAGAGTCACATACTAACCTTCTATACAAATCTATGCATTTATCTTAGTGCCATGTACGGAAGAGCTTGCATTTACTACAGTGTTCTTTGATCAATCTTTGTAATCAAGCTTTTGAGATTTTTTTTCTTCAGCTAATAAAAGATTAACTGCTTCCTTTCCCCTCCCACTGTGAAGTGAGATTCAAGTTTTATATAAAGATTGTATCCCTTATTTGTCATTCCAGTGTCAGTACTCTGTACAGGCAGCCCATCCTCTGTCCATGCTGCTTCAATGTTCTGCTCCAGTAGTGCTTCCACTCAGAAAACAAATTTCTTAGAGGGGCTTTGGGATCATGTTTAATTTCCCCTGTGTCTCAGGCACAGGAAAAGATGCCAGATTGTGACAGTTTTGCATTGTTCCTATTGAAGCCAGTGTAAAGTGCTACACAAGTCTCATGCTGACTTGCAGAAGGCAAGAAATACAGCTGGCCACTGTGCCATTTTGTCTCTTGCTTTACATGCTACACTGGTTCTGCACTGCTCAGAGACTGCCCTCAAAAACAAGCTGCACCCACCTGCTCTGCACACTCCGAGAACCGTTGGTGATGCATAGGGGTGCATGCGGGTGCATGTGCACCCCTGAGATTGGCCGTGCACCCACTGGAAGCTCCAGCCGCGAAACCGGAAGTGCTGCTGGAAGCGCGCTTCTGGTTTCACTGCTGGCTTGGTGATCAGCAGCTGGGGGACCGCCCCCCCATTGGCAATCTGGTGCCCCCCATGCTGAGAGCAGAACTGAGGCAATGAGGGTGCTTCAGGGGCAGCCCTCTACAGGGCTGATAGTTCAATGAACATCTCAGGTGCAGCACTTGCTAGCAAGTCAAACACAAATGCATTCATTCATGCCCAGATGCACAAAAAAGCACAGGAACGTTAAAGAATGTACACAACTCAAATGAGGGCGCCTTACAGATGTTGAAAGAAACATCTAGAAGATCTGAATCGTGCATGGCCTGCAGATTTAAGCCTTGCCCATTTTGTAATCATCTTTCTCTTCCTCTGCTGTTCTGGGGTGAGATTCTGGCGCTCCCTCCCTCTGCATATTGCTACATTGAAAGCTATGCCATCTACTCTAGGTCTTTCCAGTCACTCCCTCTGAAACCAGTCTTGTCTCTCTCCCTCTAGAACTCTATTGCGTGGTCAATTTTGTAAGGCAAGGTCTGTCAAGCAACTTTGACAAGTTTTCTACCCCTAATCTATTTTATTGTTTGAGGGGTAATGTGATTGCCCTTCTTTCATCTGGCATTCACATAATTGTAAAGGGTTTCAAAGGTAAAAGGTGATTATAGGTAACTCGGGTCCCTCCTTCAAAAACATTCCTCACCTTTGGACAGTGCCCTGTGCTGCAATCAGGTGGATGTGCTGGAACAGTTTGAATGTTTCCAATTACTGGTACAATAAATGTTTTGAAAACTATTTTTAGCTCTTGTTCCTCATTTATCTCTCGGATTGGTAATGAGAGAGTTTCTGTTGCAAGTGTCAACTAGTTATCACGGATCAGTATACCTTATTTACCTGAATCCAAGATTACTTTGAATTTAAGATGACCTCCCAGTAATTAGATTCTATACATAGAAAATTGTTATATTTTTCCATGTATAGAATAATTATTGGGCGGGGGGTCATCTTAATTTGATCCTGTACTTGATGCCTGACTCCCCCACCTGTTCCAACCCTTCCTCACTTTGTCTGTCACCGCCTACCCAACCAGGTAGCACCAGTTGTGGGTGGGGGTGGCAGGTAGCTGGGCCTCTTATCTTTGATCCTGAGCCTGGGTTGAAATGAGCTGGAGTTTCAGCCGCTGCTCCCCCCTACCTTTTACTCAAATCCCCACTTGTTAAATGGGGGAGAAAAACCTTCATCTTGGATTTGTGTCAATACAGAGTTGCATGAATTTTTATCAAGCTGCAAGTGTCATTGTATCCTGTGAAGGCCATTTTGACTATAAAGCTGGTCACAGAAAGTCACAGTTGTCAGCAAAAATATTTCTCAGTGGAAAGCTGGAAGTAGGGGAAGGTACACCTAGATACTCCACTCAGATTGGAGTAACAAACAAAGAGCAAGCTACTGGCCAAGGAAGCTACCTCTCTCAGGTGGACTAATAAGAATTAAATCACTTGACAAGGATTGAAATGAATTGGGGAGGGGAAGGTGGGGGGGGTCATCTGACAGTGGACTGGAAGTTGAAAAAGAGCAAGGTCTTCTTTGAAGGGCATGGTCACCAGTTAAAACAAGGAAGTAAGAAAGGGCCATGCAGCAGCAGGGTCCTGCCATCATCTGAGCAGTCGGTGAACAAATCCCAAAGGGCTCCTGGAGTAGAGAGAAAACTGAAGCAGGAAGGTATCATTTTTCCATACATCTATGCATCTTCTGCTGTATAAGAGCAAAATGCAGCTGGTTTAGAATTCCTTTTGCAAAGTGCATGTTACTGTTTCATCTCTCATGTGGATTGAATAGAGAAGTGTAACCCATAGTACCTACAAGGCAGCAGCTCTAAGCAAGCAGTTACTAGGATATCCTGGTGTCCTGGCACTAATGCGGAGAGAGAAGGGTGCCTGGTATTGGTGTCCCATCCCTTGGAATTGGTACCCAAGAGGCTAGAAAAGAATATGGCTGAAGTCTATTAAGACCCAGCTTTCTTCAGACATATGCTGGATTTCTCTTGTATCTAAGTTATTAGCTGATGATGTCCAACAGGGGAAGCTTGACCATAGCTGCTTCACTCCTAAAGTGCCACATGCAACAGCTGTGTACAGGTTTCCCTTGCTTTATGCGGGTTCTCTATGTGCAAATTTACTCTTATGCAATGATCCTTTTTATTCCAAAAATTGGTTATATGTGAGGTAAATTCACTCTTACGTCATCAGTGAGGTGGAAGCCTGCAGTCAGCTGCTTTGTGCAGTGCATTGTGGGACTGATGCATACCAAAATATAGTCTCCTGTGTGAATCTGTGCTCTTCGCTCATTGTCTGCAACGTGTTTCTGTAGTTGCCATCACCATTATGATAGTGCCCTGTGCTTGTGTGTACTGTCTGTTGTTGGCGAGTATGAAAATTGTTTTGTAAAAGCGGTAGAAATAGATCTGGGGGTCAGTATAGTTGAGGTCTTGGAATGTATCCCTATTTGTTACATTGTAAAGTGGGTTCCCTTTATGTGAATTAGAGTTATGTGCCATTTTCCAGGAATGCACGTACAGCAAAAATCAAGGGAAACCTGTACTCTTCAATTGCTTTCACACTGCCATGTAGATAGAATTTATTTTGGTAACAGAAATATAGGCTAATGCCCAGCGTTACCACCTAGTGCTGAGAGTACCTTAACTTCTCTTTGGTTAGGAGGTAGGCACAAGACCACAATCTAGGTCTACTTTGGCCTGCCTTTCTGACTGCTCCATCAGTGCCAATGTATGGGTGACCTGATTCTGCCCAGGCACTCTTGCCAGAGAAAGGTTAAGTTAGAAATGTCTGACTGTTCCCCTCCCTGCACCTGGATGTCTTTCAGCATTAGTAATGAGATGGAGCAGCTCTTAAAATGCAATTCAGCTAAAGCATCTCCCCATGTATCTCCTTTGCCTGTGGTGAGGTTATCCCTGACTAATGAGAAGAGTGGTACACTACGCCTTCCAACATAAAGGACCAAATGTATCTAGGATGGAAACTACCATGATTGACCGCAAGATGAACATGAGCCACCAATGTGCTATCGCAGCTGGCAAAGCGAACAAAACGCTGGCTTGCATCTACCGATGCATCTCAAGCAAAACCCAGGATGACATCCTCCCACTGTACTCGCCCTTGGTAAGGCTGCAGCTGGAGTACTGCATCCAATTCTGGGCTTCGCAATTCAGAAGGGATGTGGAGAAGCTTGAGAGAGTCCAGAGGAGAGCCACGCACATGATCACAGGACATGAGAAGAAAGGCTGCGAGCTATGGGACTCTTCAGCCTGGAGAAGCGCAGGCTCAGGGGTGACTTGGTGGCGTCAGGATCTGGGGAAATGCCTGTTCACCGGAGCACCCCAAGAGATACCAAGGACCTACAGTCACAAATTCCTACAAGACCATTTTAGGCTGGACATAAAGAAAAAATGTTTAACTGTCCAAGCCCCCAAGGCCTGGAATAGACTCCCCCCAGAAGTGATGCAAGCACCTATTCTGGACACTTTTTAAAGAAACATTTGGATGCTTATCTTGCTGGGATCCTTTGACTCTAGCTCACTTCCTGTACTTTGGGCAGGAGGCTGGACCCAATGATCTTACAAGGTCCCTTCCAGCCTTAATGTCTGAAACCTATGAAATAATGCCATTGCATCAGTCAGAGCAATTGAACCTATTTCCACCAGGACTGAGAGGAGCTGAAAGAATTTATATTGCTTAAGTAGCAGTTTTCTCTCCCAAATGAAGCAGTGGAGACTTCACTAGCTAAGGACATATGTAGATGACACAGGCGTTAATGTAGAGTGCCTGAAAATTTTAACGCAGTTTTTTTGGTACGGTGCATTTTTGTTTGCACATGTGGAAGCACCAAAGATGGGGTTTCCGTTGGGAGCCATACTATCCATCTGGCGTGGGGGCCCTCCCCGCAACTCGCCATGACTTGGTGTTACTGAATGAAAGGGAGGGGTTCAGTGGAGATCTTCCTGGGGGACCCTGGGGACGGTAGTACTCATTGTCTTGATGCGAAGTTCCACAGGGCTCTATCTCCCCTACACCCCATCCACTCACCAACCGAATGGGTGCCGCCTGTGTAGTTCGGCCGTGCCCTGTCAACCCCTTTCGCAAGGGGGACCGGCACTGGCATGGGTTCTGGTGGGCTAACCCGGTTGTCTCAACAGCTAGCATCCTTGCCTCAGATGCTGACGAGCTAGGCTTCCATTGGCTGGCATCCTCCTTGCCGCCTCTGGGCAGGACGCCTCTAAACCTCTTTATCAAGTAGACCACTGGAAAGGGCAGGGGTGGAGAGGTGGTGGAACTGCCTCCTCCCTCCCAGCCTCCTACAGGGGCTCAGCTTCCCTGGCTCGGGATGCTGGCACTGAGCTGGCTGCAGCACTCCTGTCTGCCACAGGAGCCTCACCACACTGGGCATGCTCCCTCTCCCCTCCCCAGCCAGGTTCTGGTGGGGCTTTTAAATCTTCCCGCGATGGCTGCTCTGGCCACTGCGATTGGCTCCACTGTTC